TCACACTCAACATGGGACAGGAGGCTGCAGAAGTGAACATAACCCGAGATTTACATCCAAAAATGTGAGTTTGAATTGCATTTGTCTACTGGCTCTTTGGCAGAGTGAATCTCTGTACTTCTCTAAGTTTCAGCTTCTGAACCTATAAAATAGTGATAGCAATGCATATTTCCTAGGGCTTCTACAAGACTGAGCTAACCTCTGCAGCCTGGCTTGTATGATCTAACCTGTACCATGCATTCATTTTTCTCTAATCAAACAGGAAGTTGGATATTAGCATTAAGGATTACTTTTTCCTGAGCCAGGAATCATGGCATACGCCTGTAGGCCAGGAGGCTGAGACAGGAGGATCACATGAGTTCAAAGCCAGTCTCAGCAACATAGCAAGACCCTAAGCAACTCAGTGTGACCCTGTCTCTAAATAAAATATAAAAAGGGGCTGGGGATGTGGCTCAGTGGTTAAGCATCCCTGGGTTCAATCTCTTGTACAAAAAAAAAAAAAAAAGAATTACTTTGTCTGAAACCACCCTTTCTGTTAGTTGGAGCATCTCCCCTCAGCCCTGGCTATCCTGTATTTGGGTTTGGGGGTCTTGGGTTTCCTAGCCTTTACTTCCTGTTTTGTGGTTGAATCTTGGCTCCCACAGTGACCAATACACTGAGGATTGTCATGGGTAGGAGGAGCACAGAATCAAAATAGACCACTCCCTCAGCTCCTTCCTGTTACCTTGTCTCTGAAACACTAACAGCAGGAACACATCTGCCTGTCTCYTCATAGAGAGAGCCTAATACCTACTGCTCCCTTGGTAGGGAGAGTTAGGGAGTGAAGCATTCCCCAGAACAAGTTAAGAGCAATTATGCCCAGAGTAAATAAGACTCAGAAGTCTGAAATCATGCAATGCCTCCAGATTTTATCCACGCACAGTGGGATGCTCAGATTTGCTATTCCTCCTCATGTTCTGTGCCCGTCCAAGTGTGGGGTAATTCAATTACATCCACCGCTTTCATTAGTACATAGTTACAAAACTTTATTCAAATATTACATAAGGAACCAATCCACCGTCAAGGAATGCATGTGGCAAAATATACCTTTATAACTGTTACGAGAAATGAAAGCCATGATACTCAGATGATAAAAAAAAAAGAAAAGAAAAAAATCATTGGCAAGAGACAACTTAGATAAAACTAAAGAAACTCTTCACTTGCTTAATTAAGAAGAAATTATTGAAAGTTGCTATGTGCTAGGTACTGTGCCAGGGTCTAGCTATAGAGGTGACCTTGTATAATTATAAGCGCACAAGGAGTGACAGAAAGTAAATAATTTAAAGCTATAAGAGATTATAGGAATAACATTGTTATGTGTGCAGGGTGTAAAGAGAGTCCATAATGTCATTTGCGTAGAAGGCCGGGAAGCTTTGTGCAGAGGGATGAGCTTTACTTGAGGGTTGTTCAACAGGCAGATGGTGTGGGAGGGGCATTTGGYCTCAAAGAAGAGTGACAGCCAGGATCCAGCACTGAGGATCTGCCTGGCTGGCTTGCAGCCTGCCATCATTCTGTAGGGACAAAGAAGTCCATCGCAGTGTGGAGGGCAGAGAACACAGAAAGCGGGGTAGGTAGGGAGCGAGAAAGCCACAGAGATGAGTTGTGGCCTAGGAGTGGTCCCCGAAGCATTCTGAACTATGTTTAGAAAGATCATCCTAACAATTGGCATGAAAGGTGCGTCTGAAAGTACCAGACTTTGGCAGGGAAGCCATTAAGATCAAATGCAATGCTACAGAGGAACAGATTGGAGGGAACAAGAATGTTTAAGGAGGTGGACTATGATGACATCACCACTCATCTACTCCTCCAAGCCAGAAATCTCTCTCTTGGTTGGAGACGATCCAGTTTAATTTAGCTTCAACTAAACAGCTTCTCTCCATTGCTATGCCCACCACCCTCGTTCAGGTTACTTTCATTTCTCTACAATTTCCCCAATTTTATTTTTGCCACTACTCTGCATTTCTCATGTTGGTTTTCTAATAAGAGGGATTTTTCGAAAATTAATTATCACCTTTACTTAAAACACTTTAGAAATTCTTCACTGTGTGTAGGTCCAAACAGGCACCTTGATATGGCTTCAAATGTTCATGATGAGCTGTCTCACCTTTGCCTCTGAAGCCCTGATCACCTGTCCACTCCCATCTTGGCCACCCYGTGCTAGCTGGCACACACTCCTACACCTTCACTCACAGGGTTCCCCCCCCCTTTTGGGGTATTCTGCAGGCTCTTCCCTTCACCTAGTTAACTAGAGCTATCCAACAGCTCTCAGACTGGACACCATTTCCTGCAGGAAGCTCTCCTAATCTGACCCCCAAATCTGTGTTGGTGACTTTCCTCTGTCCAGTGTCTCCTCTCCAATCAAGACATGCTGCAAGTAACTTGGAAACTGCCTGGTCTTTGGTGCTTCACCCACACACAGCCCACCTGTACCTGTCCTTTCCATCTCTTGGCAGTAGACTCTGCCATGTCGGAACCATGAGCAAACTGCTCCCCAAGGAATCCCCACCACCCAGCTCACCGCTAGGGTGCAGTATAAAGAGCAAGGTGTGTGTGTGTGTGTGTGTGTGTGTGTGTGTGTGTGTGTGTGTGTGTTGTATGTGATACATCAAAAAAAAAAAATCTCAACTATAAACCTGCCTGGCAAAGAAAGTGAATGGTGAGACTACTGTGATGCAGAGTAAATGTTTATCAAATGAAGACATAGATAACAAATGAATCCCTGCATTCATACAGGGGATGTACCTTGTCAAAAAAAAAAAAGTAAATTTTATCAAAATGCAAACTTAAAAAAAAAAATAAACTCCACTTTATGTTTCAGAAGAAACCATTCCACTCTTAGATCAAAATGTAATGCACTGTCAGGGATCACTACTTTCACTATTTATAGTACTAGTACTTTATCTTTGGGGTATTTCTCTTCATAGTCACAAGAAAACTCCCTTGCAGAAAACCTCTGATTTTATGCAATCCACTAATAACATCCATTCATGGAAACAGCTTTAGTTTTCTATCCAGTGGTTAATGCCTCAAAGTCAGATAAGACACAGAGAACATCAGGGAAGAATCGCTTTTGAGAAAAAAAAAAAAAAAAAAAAAAGACATCCTAGGTATAGGAATGTCTAACTAATAAAGCAAAGTGCATATGAACATGAACAAAAAGGGTCACACTTTTCCTTACACATAGGTTTTTTTTTTTAAGTGTGTATTGGGTACAAAGTTCCTTTCTGGTTGCTGTGGTATTGATTTCACTTATAACAGAAAATTCATTAAACTACTTTTCATGAGACATATGTTCCTTATGCAATTAACAATACATTCAGCATCAATAAACTCTAATTTTAGAGACATTCATCTGCAAACATTAATCACTTGATGGTAAATTCAATTCCTACTTGACTTCTGCTTTTCACGCTCAATTCTCCAAGGATATATACCACGTAGTACCTCAAAAATATTAATTTTCTTACAATGAAAGCAGATTGAATTCCTAGAAAAATCTTTGTGCAATAAATATATACRCATATAAGTCAAATCAAAGTTGTATGAGAAAAAAAGTTTTCTTAGGGAGGACTTTGTTATTGACCAAACACTTYCAAAGAACCWAACCTTTCAGAGAAATGACCATAATATCCCCTATATTATCAAATTAAAAACAATATTTCTGAATAGGTCAAAGCTTCCCAAATTACATACATAGAAAATCACATAAATTTAAAATACATTACYTACAAAGAATATGGAGACCTGGCATGACTTTATTCAAGGGGGTCACTACCAGGGGGCATAATTTTTCTCTATTCAGATTGCCCRACATAGTACAGGTCTGACCAGTAACTCCCTACCAGGAATGGTGACAACTAAAGAAATATGCCTCCATATTTCCAAATACCCAGTTGAGAGCTGGGAAATCTCCCTTGTTTGCAGAAGAAACTTTAGCTAGACAAAAGGAACTTCCTGAATTGAAATCATTAGAAAAAGACAGTGCCATCTCTTGAGCCCAAGACTCTGGGAAGTCAGTGTCCTGAGACCAGCAGAGAATGTCAAAGTAAGGGAAAAGCTCTGATCTGACTTTCAGTTCAGTCTTTGGCTTCCTGCCTTAGGTAACTTGTTCATCACATATTTTCTAAGTTAATATCTATTCATTATACTGATTACTTGCCAACTCCCTTTTCCTTTTTATTCATGTCTCTCCCTGATCTCAATCTTGGATCTACCCCATCCCAACTGCACCTGGGCTCTTCTCTCTGTAGACAAGAAAGGGTAGGGGGCATCATGAATCCAGAGCTCCAATTGTGCAATCTGAGGGAYAAGCTTTCTATGTCACTGTCACCAAACACTCCTATTCACTCCACCGGACAGGTGATATCTTCCATATCACAGAGAAAACAGAGGCCTCCACTTCCTTCTGTCTATCCAGCAACTAATCTAACTTAGTAGCTGGAGTTTGACTAGTCAACTATGAAATGTGAGAGAGGCATTTCTCTTACTTCCTATCTCTCCCATTTTTCTCTTTTGCTTGGTTTATTTTATTGCATTTCCAGCATTAGACTGAACAGAAGCCACATGCCAGAGACAATTCTGTGCTTTTGCCAACTTTAAGAGTAAGTTTAAAGGAGTCTCACTAAATTAGAGGTCGGTTGTGTACGTTTTGGGTAAATAGTTCATTTCTGTACTTCGTTATTTAAGAGTTTTGTTATAATCTTGTATCAGAGTATATAAAATGTTTCCYAGTACCTACCGTCTTTTTTTAAATATTACTATGTGGGAAATTTTGAAGTCAAAAATTCCTATTTCAATCCCCCTGATCCATTTCACCAAGTTTTAATTTTGTAGTTTACCAATAGAAGAAAGACAAAAYTCTGGGGCCACTCTTCTAAAAGTAACCCCCCTCTGTAGTTGTAGGTTCGAAATTAAAATTCAGTAGTAAACYTACAGTAACTAAAAGGGTCTTGCATGCTTACCCGGATGTATGCATCCTGATGGTGCTTAGCAAAGTAGAGCATATTGTCCAAAGCCAACATTCCAGGAGGAGTCTGAGTAAAGTCCATGGCAGGGTTGACATGGTTCTGTGATGAAAATAAAATGTTACATGAGATTTTACTATTATCATTATTGTTATTATTATTATTATTTGCTTTCCATGAATTTRTTTTTWAAATTTTTTATTGCTACATTACTATTTTAACATTATTTTTAATTCTAAAGTTTTATAGAAGTTAATACTTATAATCTAAATACAAATGTTTTCATAGGCTAAGAGCATGATATACATGTAAATGTTATTATGCTTTATTAGTGCATTAAAATYATACATAATAGTGGGATTCATTGTGACACATTCATATATAACATAATTTACTCCAATTCATTTCCCAGTGTTTCCCCGTTTCCTGCTCTGCATTCCCCCGACCTTGTCTCCCTTCCTGTACTCTCTGGTATTTCTTTTATTTGTTTACATGTACATTTTTTCATCATTGCATTATAATTAAATATAAAAGTGGGCTTCCTTGTGCATATCTATACATGCATATGTTAGCAGACTTCACYGACCACCAGTGAACTGGTTTCCCTCCTCATGACAGAAGTGCCAGAAGACAGGCTCTAAAATCAAAWGTGATGGTGTTTTCTATCTCCCTGTAAGCCTTCTAGGACTGGAGAAGGTACTTCTTCCAGCTCTACAGGTTCAGCAAAACCAGCTTTTATACCCAGAGTTAGGAGACYTCGCTGCAGCTCAAAATGTAAGCTTATTCATAGACATATAACACTGTGAGGAAAAAAATAACACAAAATTACATTTCTGGTAGCTTCACTGAAGTGGAGAAAAACCTGGATAAAGCCATGTGTCTTCCACTTATCTCAGAAGCTGACTCCAGGAGGCACTATCTATGAGCATCTTAACTTTCTCACTCTCATGTGTGAGGTTAAGTATGGACACATCTGGCCACAGGCTTTGGGAGGCGTCCAGGGTTACAAAGTCCTCAGGCCTCTAAATTGTATAGACATTGAATGCAATCCAGATGTCCACAAGGTCCCGACATCCACCTGCTCCCAGAAAGCATGTCTGGAATTATGGTCACCACAGATGGCACAATGACATAACAGTTACAAATATGCCTAACTGGGGAGCAGGCCTGACTGACCCAAATTCTCCATATTCTTGAAATGATTGAATAACTCCACAAGGACTCTTATTTAGACACCAAACCACTCTCCACCATTAATCACTGAAAACAATCATTAAGAACTGTCTTGAAAATGCAGATCTAAATGTTATTAGTACATTATAGTTACACATAATAGTGGGGTTCCTTTTGACATAATCGTACATACATGAATGTAATGTGCTCCATTTCAGTCCCACGTGCCTCTTTCCCTGGCCTCCTGTCTCCTTCTATTCTCCCTCCTCTGTTCTACWACTGGTCTTTATTCTGTTTATTTGTTTTTTAATTTTAGATATGTCTAAAGGTGAAATTCACTGTGGTATATTCGTATAAGTAGATAGCATAACTTTTTCCAATTTRATTCCTCAGTTCTTCCCTTTTTCCATCCCTCTTCCTTCCTCCCTCAGTCCTCTTCATATCCTCCATCAATCTAACCTCTGTTTTGTGGGATCACAAAAATATCTCCAATCCCTGCTTTTTTTCCTTTATTTTTCTCTAGTTTCTACAYAGGAGAGAAAACATTTGACCTTTGACTTTCTGAGTCTGGCTTATTTCACTTAGCACAATGTTCTCCAGTTCCATCCATTTACCCAGCAAATGCCATAATTTCAATCTAATTTGGGGGAGGGGGCTAAGAAAACTTCACTCTCTTTCTGTGTGTGTGTGTTTGTGTATATGTTCACACACATTAATATATTTATAGCAGCACAATTCACAGTAGCCAACTTATGGAACCAACAGATGAATGAATTAAGAAAATGTAAGATACATGCATATACACACACACAAAAATTCCTCTGTGTCTATACATATATACATATATATACACACATACATGTACATACATATATACACACACATATATATATACATACACATATACACACACATGTACACACACATATATATAACACACACACACACACACACACACACACACATACACACACATTACAGGCGCTATAAATTTTGATGTGCCTGTATCTCTATAGTATGCTGATTTTAGTTTTCTAGATAAATACCAAGGAGAGGTTTACTGGGTCATGGTGGTTCTATTCCCAGTCTTTTAAAATTTTTTTTTAATTTGTAGATGGGACACAATATCTTTATTTATTTATTTTTATTTGGTGCTGAGGATGGAACCCAGTGCCTCAYGCATTCGAGGCAAGTGCTCCACCATTGAGCTACAACCCCAGCCCATTGACCCTGATTATTTTTGTGTGTTTATTTTGTACCCTTCAACTTCATTTAATTCATTTAGTAATGTGAAGATTTTTGTTTGTTTGTGGGGTCCTCAGGGTTTCCTACAAAATATCATGTCATCTGCAATCAGGGAAAATTTGGTTTCCATTTTCCAATTTATCTAACAGTCCTTCCTTCTCTTACCTGATTGCTCACACACTGAATAGAAATTGTGAAAACGGGCATCTTATTCTACCTCAAAAATGATGACTGTGTGATATAAAACACTTGTTACTTAGCTACATTTAACTATTCCACAGTATATATGTGTATTTCAAAGCATCATGTTTTACATGAGATAAAATCATACCTTAACTGTTGTTATAAAAAATTGAAACAATTTAAGTGCCTAAAGATTATTTTAAAAAAACTACTTTCATCTCATAACTCAAATAACTTGCATGAAATGGCATATTTACATTTGGCCCTGAAAACTTTTTAATAAACAGTTTGAATCTCTGTTTTGCTAGGGCAATTTGTGTTAAGGGTAATTTTTTCTAATTCTGGTACAGGAAGGCCTTTTCATTCCCTTGTTCAAGGTTCAATCCACCTACACTTTTCTACATTATTCAAGAGTACATCAGTTTAGTCTTTGCYGARCTGCTTTGAAATTTTGTTTATGAGCTAATGAACGACATCTAAAATCATGAAAGAGTGGGGCTGCCTACTGGCCAGAGTTCCAGTTTCAAAACATCCCTATTCATCATGTCTATTTAAGTAGGTTATGTCACTGCATTGATTTGAATAGTTTATTTTAACATTTTATCCTGATTCATTTGTTAAAATGTTGGAAAGTTTTTAAAATACCAAAGTACTACTGCCAATAAGAAAGATGGAGCTCACAAAATACATATAACTGTAACAAAAATGAAAATCATTTTGGATGTCAAATGCAGCGCAGTTCAGCCTCAATTTGACATTCATTGGAGGAAGAGGGTCTAACTTATATTCAAGAGTAGAAAAAAATTCAAAGTACTAGAAATAAATGAACATAGAGATTTAGTCAAAAGAATAGCTTGTACTTAAAGATGTTATATTTTTAGCTATTTATCAAAGAATGGTGGAACCTTCCCCATTACACACAAATTTGTAAATTGATTACTTTGCTACATTAGATTTTCATGAACATAAGTAATAACATAAAAAGGTTGCTATTTGGTGAATATTATCTGGGAATGAGCAATATCATGTACTTACATATATTAAGTCTCAAAACACCCCCATTTTGTAGGTACTATTGTTATTCCCATTATGCTGATCCGGAAATTGTGGCTCAGATAACTCAGAAGCCTGCTAAAAACCTCAAAACATGGTTTTGGCTGAGCAAGCAATGTCCTCTTTGGACAGTGCATCTCAGCAATCTTTTGTTCCCAACCTTTTCCTTCCTGCCAGTATAGAAGCTGGATGCCTTTGTTTTGGTATGCTTAGCATTTAGATTTAACATGGATGGAGAAAATTTTATTTCACAAAAATGTAGACTAAGCAATGTTAGCTTCCATACAGCATGAGCCAACAAAGGCAAGTGAGCCAGATGGAAAAGAAGAAAACATAACATTTATTTTAGACCTATTTCTATTATTGGTCTATGAGTCTATTTCAAAACTAACCCCGAAGAGTAAATCAAGTCAAAAAATTAATTTCCCTTAATCTGATTTCAACAAGCCTCTAAAACTGTATGTTAGTGAAGATGACCAGAGAGATTGGTGTCCACAGCTCCAGAATCGTCCATCGCTCTTGCTTGAATTCTGCACCCAGGACTCCCTGGAAGCCTCCTTCTATCTATCCAACCCTTCCTGAGGCATATACTGTGGGTATAAAATAGGAAACTGTTGTTTTCAAAAGATCCTTAGAGTTAAAAAATTATATACACTTGATTATTTATATACATGGAGAAATGTTCTAGGATCCTCTATGGGTACCAACATCTTGAGATTCCCTATATAAAATGACATAGTATTTTCATATAATCTATATACATACTCAGTGTACTTTAAATCACCTCTAATGTTATTTATAATACCTAATATGATGTAAATTCTATGTAGCTATTTGTTAATCTATACTGTTTGAGGAATCCTTAATAAGMAAAAAGTCTGCACATGTTCAGTACAGTTACAATTTTTAAAAACATTATCTATCCACAATTGGTTCAATCTGTGGATGAGGAATTCACAGATATGGAGGGTGAACTGTAACTGATTTTTGGAGTTCTTTTAAAGAACCATACAGCTACTTGGCAAATCACCCTAGTAAAGTAATACCTATTATGTGCAGCTATTGTGCAAGGTGTCTAGCATATGCTAGCCCTTTGTCCTCACAAAACCCTCAGTGGGTCAATGCTATCATGATCTTCTTTGACAAGAAAGAACCCAAGGGCCTGAGAGTTTGGGTAACTAGTCCAAAGTTTCAGAACCAGTATGCATCAAACCCAGAAGGTGAACTCAAGAGCACAGGCATTGGAGAAGAACTGTATARTATCAGGTTGTTGACCAATCTGACCTTGCTTCAGATTTCACAAAGATGTCCAGTGCAGGTCCCCGGTTGTTGGGGTCCTCCTCAATCAACATYATTCCCTCAGACAGAAAGGGACTGCAATTCATCCCACTTAATAAAAGCTATAATTTCTTCACCATTTCCAGACATTATAACAGACCTAACTCTCT